GCGTACGTCAGGCCGAACGTCGACGAGATCGTCGAGCCCATCCGTGGGCCCGAGGAGGACCCCAGGTACAGCGCGCTCCCCGTCGGGCTCGTCTCGTCCTACGACAACCCGAAGGCTGCCACCCTCTACGAGCATTGCGCTCGCGAGAAGCTCCGTCTGCGGGCCATACCTATATCCACATCCAGTACGTCTTGGAATTTTGGGCGCTCTTCCCCAGACACCGGAGGTGCACTGGATGTGGATAACAATCTGGGCCCAAAAGGCTGGATTATGATTCATATCCAGTGCGCTTCGGCATTGCGGCACCTCTTTCCCCAAAGTCCCTGGATATGGATAGAAGTATTGCCCGCACCGTCTGGCGCAGGGGATGTACGGCTCCGCAGGCGAGCAGCGGGCTGTTCGATTTCCAGGCCGCGCCTCCGCGGTAGAAGTGCCCGGCTGCCCGAAGATCGTGTGAGCCTTCGTGGATGCCTTCTTCAAGGGAGGAAAAACCACCTGGACCCGACAATGGACGTTCATTAAACGGCCCTGGGCGTTTACTAAACGGCCCCGCCCTGTTCGACATCCTCCCAGGGGGCGTGAACTTGATGGCTTCGCTTGTCGGGGTGATTACTATGGGGGTGGATTCGGGGGCGGAAAAGAGGGGGGTGATGACTGGGGGGGGGGTGGATTTCATGGCGCGGGCCAGGATTTTTCTCAGATTTCATGGCGCCCCTGCTTATTTCATTACGTCCCAGGCCCCCCCGCTGGGCCGCGCACATGCCGCCGGTCATGATTTGCACCCCCCCCTCTCGGACACCCCCCTCTTGGCCGCTCCCGATGGATTTTCTGCCCTCTATTCTCTATCGCCAGACTGCCAAGCCGTGGTGCTGCCATCCCGGACAAGGCCCGCACGGCTTTCCGGAGGCGAGCTGCGCCGGAGCCGCCCTGAAGAGGCGAGGCCCCTCTGCTTGCTTCCGCCGGCCTGCGTGCCTGCCTCTGCCGCTTGCTCCAGGAGGGGGAGGAGGAGGAGGCGGAGGAGGGGGAGGAGGAGGAGGCGGAGGAGAAGGAGGAGGAGGAGGAGGAGGAGGAGGAGGAGGAGAAGGCGGAGGAGGCGGAGGAGGAGGAGGAGGAGGAGGCGGAGGAGGCGGAGGAGGAGGCGGAGGAGGAGGCGGCGGAGGAGACGGCGGAGGAGGCGGGCTCGGGGGGGATGCATCGACCACAAAACGTTCACTCAACGCCGATCTGGGCCTGATGGCCCACTCCGCGCAGGAGCCTGCGGTTTCCGCCAGAGCATCTGGAGTCACTCCTCTCAGGCGCGCCCGGCGCTGCCCCGTCTTCCTCGAGTGAAGTTCGAGGGCCGCCAAGGAAAAAAACACACACACACACAGTTTTGTGTGTGTGTGTGTGTGTGTGTGTGTGTGTGTGTGTGGGTGTTTTTGTGTGTGTTTTTCCCACAGTGTGTGTGTTTTTCCCACAGACGTGTGTTTTTTTCCCACAGAAGTGCGGGGGCCGCCAGGGAGGGAGTTTGATGGCCAGGGGGGCAGGGGTGCATCATGGCTGGGGCCGCCGGAGGCCGGAGCTATGAGCCGAGAGCCAGTGGTCGAGGGTCAGGGTCGGAGTCGAAGGTCAGGGTTGAGTCGGGCGTGTCCCTCTACAGGAGGAGTAACTATTCCAAACTAGTTTACAAGAAAGTATGGGAACGATTTTTGGATTATATTTTTGATTTTTCGGATTGTTTTTGGATCATCTCTCTTATTTTTTGTCCAAAATTCGCCTGTAGGAGGACACGCCCGACCTAAGGAGGCCAGGGGGGTAGGGGCGCATCATGGCCAGGGGGGTAGGGGCGCATCATGGCCGGGGCCGCCGGAGGCCGGAGCTACGAGCCGAAAGCCAGTGGTCGAGGATCAGGGTCGGAATCGAAGGTCAGGGTTACGTCGGGCGTGTCCCTCGACAGGGGGAGAAACTATGCAAGACTAGTTCACGGAAAGTATGGGAACAGTGTTTGGAGTCTATTTTTGATGATTATATATATACACTATAATTTGTTGTCCAAAATTCGCCTGTAGGAGGACACGCCCGACCTAAGGACAGGCTCAGGGAGGGATACATCAGCCCCCAATCGTCCATTCGTTGCCGATGGGGGCCCAGGACTGCGGACATGCTGTCGGCCGTTGGTCCACCTCGCCCAGGACTGCGGACATGCTGTCGGGGGCCTGTCGCCAATCGTAGCGATGTGTCGCCGATTCCAGGTCGATGGTTACCGTTTTCTTATTCATTGTTTTGCCGATCGGCGCGGGCCCTCGCCCCCCCCCCTTTCCTCCCCGTGGAGTAGATCTTGGTTGTTTTTGGCGCCTGTTTCGAGCAGGTGGAGTCTCCCCCATAATGGGCGCACTGCTCCAAACAGTCGCACTGAGCAGAGGTCCAGAGCCAGACCCCTCCCCCTCCTCCCCCTTCAGCCCCAATGTCGAAACGCCGAATAGAAAACGCTCACATGTCTCCCGCCCTGAGCTGGACCACACCTAACTTTGACCCTCAGACCTGTCTGTCTGTCTGTCTGTCTGTATGTATGTATGTATGTCTGTCTGTCTGTGTGTCTCCGCACTCCTTCAGACTGGGGCCCCGACGGCGCCGTTTGAGGGCTCCCTGCCGCAGCAGTGCAGGCAGAGCGTGTGCGCGGGTGTGCGCGCGTGTGTCCGAGACAGCGAGTGGGAGAGAGAGACAGCGAGAGAGAGAGAGAGAGGCTGGCGGGGATGCCTGCCAGCGCCGACAGCAGCAGGGGGGGGAAGGGCATTTCTGGCGCGTGGGGGCCCCGAGGGCCACCGGTCTCCCCGCGTCGTCCGAGCGGCAGCCCAGGACGACAAGCTCACCTTCTCCTTCATCATCGCGAGCGCCTTCCAGAGGCACACCGGGGAGGCGGCCCGCGCCCCGCGCAGCGTGTGCCCGGCCCGCCGGCGAGAGAAGGACACCTTTCACGCACGCCTCAGGCCGGCCTCGGAGCAGGATGGACCGATCCAGAGCGCGTTCTCAGAGCGTGAATTACCTACCCCGCTTTCGCATCAGGCCGGCCTCGGAACAGGATAGACCGATCAAGAGCGCTCCAGGATGTTCTCAGAGCGTTCCGGGACGAGCACTCCGGAGCGTTCTGAGAAGGCCACGGCTCCCGACACCATTGTGACCCTCACAGTTGGAGGCAACTGACCAGGTCAGTTGGAGGCAACTGACGGTCAGTTGGAGGCAACTGACCGTCAGTTGGAGGCAACTGACCAGGTCAGTTGGAGGCAACTGACGGTCAGTTGGAGGCAACTGACCAAGTCAGTTGGAGGCAACTGACGGTCAATTGGAGGCAACTGACCGTCAGTTGGAGGGAACTGACGGTCAGTTGGAGGCAACTGACGGTCAATTGGAGGCAATTGACCGTCAGTTGGAGGCAATTGCCAGTCATTTGGAGCTGATGGTCAGTTGGAGGCAACTGACCAGAAACTCAACAGGATTCTCAATCGCTTCCAGCTGACGGTCAGTTGGAGGTAACTGACGGTCAGTTGGAGGAAACTGACGGTCATTATCATCAATTCCACCATCATCGGCATCATCATCGGCATCATCGGCATCATCGACATCACCATCATCAGCATCAGCATCATCATCATCATCATCATCATCAGATCATCACACATCACCATCACCATCACCATCATCACCATCACCATCACCATCACCATCACCATCACCATCACCATCACCATCACCATCACCATCACCATCACCATCACCATCACCATCACCATCACCATCACCATCACCATCACCATCACCATCACCATCACCATCACCATCACCACCATCACCATCACCATCGTCGTCGTCGTTGTCATCGTCAACGTTACCTTGATCCCCGTCCTCATCCTCATCTTCTTCCCTCCTCATCTTACTCCCACTCTTCGCCCTTCCGTTCTACTTCTGCTATTCCTCCTCCCCTTCCTTCTTCTTTTTCTTATTTTCTCCCCCTCCTCTTCCTCCTCCTCTTCCTCCTTCTCTTCCCCTCCCTCCTCCCTCCCTCCCTCCCTCCCTCCCTCCCTCTTCCTCCTCCTCCTCCTCCTCCTCCGCCTTCTCCTCCGTCCTCCTCCTCCGCCTTCTCCTCCGTCCTCCTCCTCTTCCTCCTCCTCCTCCCTCCTCCCACTCCTCCTCCCTCCTCCCTCCTCTTCTTTCCCTTCCTTCTGTCTTTTTCCCAAACATCCTAATATACTCCCAGCCATCCTGTGTTGCTGGGTTCTCGTCTTGAAGACAGCGCTCCGCGTCCCATCTCACTCATTCCCGGCCCATCCCTCTCCGCCAGGCAGCACAGTCTGCCCAGGACTAGCGTGGTGGCCCTACTAGTGTACATTGCTCCTCAGAAGTTGGTCGGCTTCATTCGACTGGTGTGGGTTAGTGCGTCCTCGACGCGTCACGGGCCGAGTGTGTCATTTGCCCTGGATCGCTTCCTGATGGCCCCAGCGCCTGAAAACGGCTCGTTCCTCCTCTTGCCTCCTGCCTTTGCCCTCTGCTTCCAACTTCGCCGCACACCTCACGCGTGTTTCGTGGCCCCGCCGTGAGCTTCACCTGCGGTCTCATTGGCCGCAGACGTTCGCGGTCCCCCCTTTCCACTTCGGCGCACGCCTCACACGTTACGTGGCCCCATCGTGAGCTCCACCTACGGCCGAGGGGAGCTCCACCTACGGTGTCAATGGGCGCAAACGCATGGGGTCCCCCTGTCCACTTCGGCGCACGCCTCACACGTTCCGTGGCCCCACTAGGGAGCTCCACCTACGGCCGAGCGGAGCTCCACCTACGGTGTCAGTGGGCGCAAACGCATGGGGTCCCCCTGTCCACTTCGCCGCACGCCTCACACGTTCCGGGGCCCCATGAGGGAGCTCCACCGACGGTCTCAGTGAGTGCAGACGCACGGGTATCTTGCCCACCTTGGCACACCACTTGACCGACGCAGCCGCCGCTCTTTTTGGGAGGCTGGGCCACCCCGCGAGGTGACCAACGCCGAGTGGTCACTGCTGCTGCGCGGGGTGGGTTTGTTGGACATGTCGCAGAAGCCCGCCAACCCGGACCCGGACTGGCTCACAGAGAAGCAGGACGCCCTGCACCCGCCCCCGAGGGCTCGACGGCCCTCCTCCTCCATCTCCTCCTCCTCCTCCTCCTCCTCCTCCTGCTCCTCCTCCGCCTCCTCCTCCTCCTCCTGCTCCTCCTGCTCCTCCTCCGCCTCCTCCTCCTCCTCCTTCTCCTCCGCCTCCCCCTCCTCCTCCTCCTCCTCCTCCTCCTCCTCCTCCTCCTCCTCAGGAGGAGGAGGAGGAGGAGGAGGAGGAGGAGGAGGAGGAGGAGGAGGAGCTCGGCAACGGCTAGAAAGGTGCCACCACATTAAACATGCATCAAGCAAACTCCAAACGAGTTAGGGGGGGTCAAAATCCTCCCCGGGCGGCACAACCTGCCGGCGGCGCTCTTGCGCTCGAAGCCCGAGCGACTCCGCCTCTTCCCGAGAGTGGAAACCAAAAAGTGACAGGCCTCGCAGAAGGTCGACCCCAGTCCCCGCCCAAGCACACCCACCCCCGCCCGACATGGACGCAAGAAAGCCTCTGGACAGAGGCGGCGCTAGCTGCGGGAGGTCGTCCAGACCCATCTTGGCTGCCAAGTAGTCTCGAGAGGGATCCGATAACACGGCCGCTCGCGAGACCCGAAACCCTTGCTTCGAAGGATGTCGGCCGCGCAATATCCAATCCAACTGCCTCTCACGACCCGAGGAACGGTGGCCCAGACAATCTGACGCTAGAGCCGTTTTTCCCCCGTGCCCTCCTACGGCACAAACCGAGCCGCAGCGAGTACAGAAGGCCAGGGAGCCGGCCGCAGCCCCCGCGGGGTCCGTGACCCCACACTCGATGATGTGGTGGGCGCGGGCTGGCCAGACATGGAGGTCGGGCCATTCGGCCCTGCTCTCCTTACCTTCCTCGCCCACCCTCCCCGACTCCCGACCCGCTCCGCCACTCCCAGGAGGAGGAGGAGGCACAGGAGGAGGAGGAGGAGGAGGAGGTGGAGGAACCTCGTCGGGGAGAGGAGGGACCTCAAGGGTGATGTGCCTAAGCCAATCGATGCCGACATGGTCGAACTGCTGACTGTCTCCAATCCGAGCCTCTTGCTCAGCCGAGAATTTACAAAGAAGACGGGCCAACTCGAAGCAACCATCGACGACGGCACGATCGGCGGCAGCGATTCTACCCAAAGAGGCACCCTTCTTTGCATATTCGTCCGCAGCCTTGTTGCCGAGATACTCAAGTCGACTGAGCTTCCCATTCTCGACATCACGAAGGGTGCTATGGGCTGGCATTTTATGCCACCGCACACCGTCAAGCTTATCATACACATGCTGCCACATATGCGATCGAGCATTATCGGGACACACAGCTCCCACTGGGTCCGAAACATACCCAAGGGTCCCCGCGCAGTCCCCATACAAGTTGGCCCCGGGGAAAACTGTAGCATGGCGGACAAGGGAGACCACAGCGTAGTCCTCGCCGTCGCGAGCGACCTGGGCTGGAGCAGCGCTTAAGGGCACACGCCCCCATATCGCACGGGCAACTTTCCCCCACCCGTCCGTCACAATCACCGCCCATCCCGCCGATCGAATCCTAGGGAGAGCAGGCTCGTAGCACGAGCCGTCTATGAACACATGCGCCCCCTCTCCAAGCACCAGACCTTCGGCGGGCCAATTGTGCCTGTAGACCGTGGCCTCGGGGTGCTCAGAGGGGCGAGTGAACCAACAAGTGGGGTCAGGGAGCACGCACCTGGCAAACAGCTTTTGGGCTCTGGGTGAGAGGAGGCGCACGCGATCCGCCGCCCGACGCAAGTCCGGGCTCAACACATCGCGCCGCCACGCCTCGTGGGCAGGGCAATCGAAGCGACGATGAAACATGGTGCCCGAGGGAGCCTGGCAGACCAAACAAGCAGGAGAGATGTCCTGACAGGCGTCGTGACATCGCTGCTGGCACCAATACCTATTGGCAATCAGGCTGCGCAAGCAGTGACGACAATGATCAGACCAGACTGAGCTTTGCTTCGAAATCAAATCGAGAGCCGGCTTGAGACAGATGGGGCCGCGCCACTCGGCGCCAAAATCACTCTGCCGAATCTGCTCTTCCATCACAAGAGCTTCCTCGCACGCTTCGCGCACGCGAAGGGCGAAGAAGGCTGGGGAAAACTCAGACAAACTCCAGGAGCGACCCGCCTGGTCAACCAAAACCTCATTTGGGACATCCAACCTCCAACGGATCCGAGCGAGCGTCAGAACAAGGGCAGCCAGAGGCTGCTTGGCGGAGCCCCAGGGCCTGGGTTTGCTCGCAGACAGGAGCGCGTCTTCAAACGCCGAGAGGAGCACCTGCTTCGTGACGCTGCGGTGCCACCAAACTGACACAAACGCTTTGACGGCGTCCACCGTCGTTGAAACGAGAGGGTCACGCTGGGGGGCCCCACAAAGGAGGAAGGTGAGGCCAAGGGAGGAGCCAGGCTGAAGGGGGCCGAAGGACCTGGCAGCGGCCACCCTCAGAGTCCGCAGAGCCGAATTCCCAAAACCATTAATGTGTGCACCCCACGTGGCCTTAGCGACTGGACCCGCCCTGTGGACCCGAGAAGCCTCCCTACCCCGCCCGATTTTGGTGAGCCGAGTCGCTGCAGCCGACGCGGCAGACAGGCGAGCGCGCTGCGTGGGCACCCGACGGCCCTTGCCGTCGGAGGCGTCCCCACCGAGATCACGGTGGGTGGAAGCGAAAAAAGACTCATCGAACGGCCAGCGACTGTCTGCCAACAGCGCGCCCGCGAGCTCCGACGTCGAACAGAGGACGCACGTCTTCACCAAGTTCAATGGCAGGTCGAGCTTCTCCATCTCCTTGATCACCATGTTGGCTGCCGCGACCAGCTGGCTGCACACCGTGCGGAGCGTGCCGATCGCGTGGACCTTCAGGTCGTCGACGAGATTCAGCGGCCGGACAACGGGCGTCTCCACCACGATCTGCCGGAGAACGCTCAGCGTCAGGAGCTTCACCACGCCAGTCGCGCAGCTGCAGCCCGCGATCACCGTGCCGTTGGGCAGCACCGCCCGTGACGTGGCGCCGAGCCACCTGGCCCGCCTCGGGCCGCGGTAGATCGCGCATAGGCACCTCAGCAGCTGCAGGTCGAAGCCGAAGTGCCGCGCCGCCACAACCAACATGCAGTGGGAGACATTCTCGAAGAACTTGCTGACGTCGAAATACAGCGTCCCAGAAACAAATCCGTGGCGCTTGGCGTGCACTACGAGCAAGTTGTGGATGTAGGCTGCGCGGTCCGCCGCCGTGTCCCCGCTCTTGCCCCAAAAGATATCGGCGTCGACCGAGCGCTCCCAGGCGCGGACCAGGCCCTGGCGAATCTTCGACCACACCCGAGGCCAGAGCCCCATCAGGCCGATGGGCCGCCTGCCCACGTCGGGAGGCGGCTTTGGGATAAATGCTATCATCGTCGTCCAAAGGTCGGGCACCTCGGCCGAGTCCTCGTACTGGTTCAAGATGGCCGTGAAGCGCTCGACCAGGGGGTCTGAGAGCTCGTTGAGCAAGCGCGGGTGGAAGTTTTCCCAGCCGAGGCCCTTCCTGCGCCCGAAGGAGAGGGAGGCCGTCCGCACCTGGTCCACGCTGATGGCCCCGAGCGTGCGCGGCACCTGCCAGCTGGCCGCGGGGGCCTCCCTCGCCCTCGACGGTTTGTCCCACAAGGGCATCCACTCCAGCACGATGGCCTCCAAGGCCAGCGCTCCCACCTGGGGATGCCCGGGCGCGCCGCCAGGCAAGGATACCGGCCGCGGCTCCACGGGCTTCGGCTTGATCAGCTTGTGAGCCACACGGCCTGACCCGGCCAGCGACGCGTTGCGAAAGTCGCGCCGCAGCCGCGCCCGGGCAGCAGCATCAGCTCTGCGCCGCCGCGCGAGCTCGTCCTCCAGGAGGCCTTCGAACCACGGCGCGAGCGGGCTGTTCCGCTCGGCGAGGGCCAGCCACGCGTCTGGCGTGGTGGTGACAAGCGCAACGTGCTCCGAGACCGCTGGCGGCAGAGTGATGGCGCGACCCTGCAGCATCAAGCCCTCCTTCACGAAGGACCGCTTGGCCTTCGAGCCGCGCGGGGCCCTGCCCCAACGGAGGAGCGCCCGCCAGATTCGCAGGAAGCCTCCGTGTCAGAGGAGTCGTGGCGTCGTTGCCGGCGCTCTTGGACGTCGAGCAGCGGCCTCTCCACCAGGCGGATCCCGCGCCCACGGCCCCGATGAGGATGGGCCTTGGAGGCCTCCACCTGCCGGGAGCGGATGAGCGACCGCTCGGCCAGGTCGAACCAGCCTGCGCACGTCACCTGGAGGTCCGACAGCGGGGCTTGCAGCTCCGCCAGCTCACACTGCGTCTCCTGCTCCGTGGCAGGCCGTGGCCCAGCAGCCTCGCCAGCGTCCGTCGCGGGGCTCACCTCCGGCTTCTTGGCCACCGAGAATGGCCGCCTGGGGTCCTCGACCCAGACCTTCGGCTTGCTCCAAACACGGTCGAGGGAGCAGCTGACCTGGTCGTGAGACCCCGCCGGCGTTCCAGCAAACGCCCGCGCAGCCGACGCGCAGGAAGACAGGGACCTCGATACCACGAAGTAGTCGTAGTCGTTGTCACCGCAAGTCGGGGCGCCACTGCTGATGAGGAGGCCATCGATCTCGTCGAGCCAGCCGCTGAAGGCGAGGTCGTCCGCGTCGACGTTCCAGTCCCCGGCCAGGAGGAATGGGACGTGGTGCTGCCCCACAAGCGCAGCGACCTCCGCCAGGAGCGTGATGTTGTCGCCCGTCAGCCCGATCGACGTGATCAGGTACACCGAGAGGCACAGGAAGACCGAGCCCTCGCCGAGGTGGATCTTCCTCGCCACGATGCGGTGCGCCCACTCCGAGGGAACGTCGATGCCCGCGTACACGCCGACGTGGGCCGCGAAGCACAAGCCGACGCCCCCGCTGACCGCCAGGCGCTCCGTCCCGACCCGAAGCGGCGGACCCAGGGCCAGATGGCAGCCTTGGCCAAGGCACCACTGCCGAGCCGCCCCGGCTGCCTCG